ATAAAACTAATTAATATTTATTTCTTTTGTTTTTAATGTGTATAATATAAGAGATACTTACTTTTTTTGAAATGAAAATACCCATTTTTAAACAAATAAAAAGCTGATTTAATACTAAAATGAAGCTATTAATTTAATAAAAAAAAAAATTCGAATTTTATATTCAGCTCTAAAATTTATTTTGAATATGGGATAATATTTAATTAATTAATAAAAATTTTTAATTATAATAAAGAATCTATAACTATTTCCTATTATGAAATAGTAGATCAAATCCAAATTGATTTTACCTTTTTTTGTACAATCACTAAATTGGAAATCATCTAATAACTTTTTAAAGACAACAACGCAGCCAAAAAAAAATTAAAAAAATAAAAAAATAAAAAAAAAATGTTTATTGAAATTTCAATAAATAAAAATTATAAAAACACATTTTTTTTTATTATTTATCTATTTATTTATTTTTTTTTTTAATAAATTTTTTTTTTTTTTTTTTTTTTTTTTCCTTTAATTTAATTAACTTAAGAGCTTGTGGATCAAGTGATATGAAATTCTATATAATTTAAAAAGTGATAATTTGAAAGAGTTAATAAATATTAAAAAATAAAAAAAAAAAAAAAAGAAAAATTTATAAATAAAATAAAATTTGATTATTACTATATTAAACATGAAACTATTATTTATATATTTTATTATTTCTCTTTTTTCCAATTAATTGTTTTGTATCTTTAATGTCCATTTTTTAAAAAAATATAAATTAAAACCTTTTTTTTTTAGTTTTATTGAAATAATGAAACTATTAAATTAAATGTTGACCCCAAAAGTAAACCTATGTTTGTTGAAAATGACTAAAAGAAATTTAATTAATTAACCAAATTAAAAAATTAAAAATTAATAAAAACTACTTACAATTACTATTCCAGATAATTCTTTATATTCCCTTTTTACCCTCATTGGAGCTTCAGCCATACATATTGATGATATGAAACCATTTGAAAAAGCAAATAAAAATATTGAGGCAATTGAAATATAAGGTGATTGGAAAATTTCAACATAGATTTGTAAAAAAAATATTGCAATAAACAATAATCTACCTGTTGTAACAAACCATAAAAATTTAATACTAAAAAAGTTTGGTTTTATAAATATTGGAATAATTTTTCCGATGCTATCTGAAACATTATAGGTCCCAATAACAATAATCATATTCCAATCACTATATTGTATTACTTTAAGTTGTATTATGATTCCTGGGAATAAAAATAAAGTAACGAAAAATAATAGAATTGTTAAAAATAAATAGTTGATGTTTTTTAATATAACTTTTTTTAATGGTGATTTCGAATTACTATTAATGCTACTACTTTGAATTTCTATTTCTTCTTCATTGTTATTTTCTATTTCTGTGGTGTTTTCATTTATACTTTCTATATTTTCGTCTATATCTATATCATCAATTTCGATTTTATTATTTTCTAAATTATTTTCTTTTTTCCCACTTATATTTCCGAGGGGTGCAAATAGCAATTATATAAAAAATATTAAAGCCCTTGATTTTCCTAATGACCCAAATGGAATAAAAATATAATAAAGCTATCCCTAGTTCCCATTTATTTAAAGGAGTTTTTTGACATAAATATTAGCTTTACCAAATTATTCTTTATTATTATTACCACTACCCCCTGATACTCCAATTTTAAAATAAAGATATATTAAAATCTATTTTTTATACTATTTTACTATTAAAACCTATTTATAATTACCCAATTTCACAAAAAATTGAATATTGTGGACCAAATAAACTTGCAAGTGCAAAAATTGATGATTGTACAACACTAACAAAGAATGAGGCGATGGCAATTAATATTATAGTTAAAATATATACCCAAAATTGTCCTCCTCTCAATATATTTATTACTGGTATTACCATCATTATAACAATAAATAAAGAATATCCTACTATTATATTTACATGATGTTTGATTTTGCTTTGAAACTTTAGCAATACTATGAATGCTATACAAAACATTACCATACAAACAAATGGAATGGTCGATGATGTTAAATATTTGGGATATATAATATTAAAATAATCTAAAGATGCTAAAAAACTGGTGAATGGGAATAATACTGCAACCGTTAAAAATAGCATCATTATTCCCATTTGATAGTCCTATATATAAAAAGAATTATTTATTAATAAACCTATAAAGTAATAATATTATTTTGAAGTATCTTTAAACTAACAGTTTTTTTTAATACTGGTTCATATTTATTATTTTCTAAACTATAAGTATTTTCTGTATCATTTTTATTAAATAACTTTGATATATCAAGTTCTTTATTATTTTCTTTTTCTATTGTTACCATTATATAAAATAATACATATTAAAAATTATATATATATATAAAAATTTAAATATTATAATAGGTTTAAAAAAAAAATTTAATAATTTATAAAATACATAATTTATAAAAAAAAATTATTATTATTTTTTCTATTTTTTTATAAAATTCATTTATTTTTATTTTTTTATTTTTAGTGTGTCCACCCCCCCAACACCACTCATTGTGTGTTGGTGGGTATATAAAATTTTAAATATAAATATCTTTAAGATTAAATATGTTTTGATATGTTTTTTAATTTTAAAAGATGTTATTAACACACATTTATTGATACACCTAAGAATAATCCAAACTTTGTTGACAATGACTAATATTAGTATTTTAAATAGATAACAAAAATTAATATTCTAAATTACTCTTTATATTCTCTTTTTACTCGTATTGGTAATTCGGCTGTACATATTGAAGATATTAAGCCAATTTAAATGAAAAAAACTGATTAAAGAAAATTTTAAATGAGTAGTTTTCTTATGAAATTCCTGAAGATAGTTTGGTTGGTTCAGGGTTTTGGATTCTGTGATTTTTTTTTTTTTTTCATAATTATTTTTCCCAACTGTTAAAAATAATATTGTTAATCCAATGTTATAATCCTTGCTATTATAAAAAATAAAACCTATTAATTATATTATTTAAATATAAAAATATCAACATTTTTATCTCCAATGGATTATAATCGTTGGTTTGGGTTTCTTTCTTGTCCCTGTTTGAAATTTTAAAAAGATCTTTATTTTATCTTTATCCAATTTCATTTTATTTTAAAATAAAAAATAAAATTTTAAAAAAAAATAAAAATAAAAAAATAAAAAAAAAAATAAAAAATTTTTGTGTGGGGGGGATTTGCTATATTTGTATTTTTTTCAAAAAAACAGGGTGTATATATATTATTTTTTTTTTAATATAAATAAAATAAATTTGAAAAAAATGTTTTTAAAAAAAAAAACAATATTTATTTCTGATGATCAAAATGATTTATAACAAAATGATTTATTTATAATACAAAAAAAAAAATAACAAAAATTATAATTTAATATTTAACAGTAATATGAATAAAATAAATAATAGAAATAATAAATATATTTATTTAATAAAATTAAATAAATCAAAAAAAAAACTAAACTAGAAATTTAAATGGTATTTAAAAAGATATTTTATATTTGTTTTTTTAAAAAAAAAAAAATTTTATTAATTTTATTTTATTATAAAATTAATTTTTTTTTTTTTTTTCTTTTGTTTTATACACAACTAAAATGGATTATTGTGATATAGATAATAAAGAAAATAATTGTTATAATGGTAATTATAACATTCATTGTTTAATACATAAAAAAGATTTAATTTTTGTGTGTGAAAATAAAGAATGCGAAACTCAATTAGCATGTATTAAATGTGTCACTACCACTCATAAAGGTCATTTATTAACCGATTTAGATGAAATCAATATTAACAATAAAGAAAAAATTCAAAACTTAATAAAAGAATTCAAACTTCAATTTCCAAAAATTTCTAATCAAATCAGTATAAATAAAACCAATTTAAAGAAAATAGAAGATATCTATAGTAAAAAATCAAAAATAACTAAACTTGATACTGACGGTGTAGCAAATATGTTTTCAGAAGTAAAAGAATTAGTATTAAAGACTGAAGAAAACTACATAAGAGGTATTGAAGATAACCAAATGGATAGTGAATCAAATTATTCTAAAATGAAAGATGAATTGGAAATGGGAACTGTAGTATTAGAAAAAATATATGAAAAATATAAAACTAATCAAAACATTAATGATTCAATCAGTAATAATGATAATAGTAATAGCCCATTCGACAATATTGATTTTAATAATAAAAGCCACATTATCGAAATATTGTATAGTAATAGTATCAGCAAATCTAAAACCAACCAAAACAATAGTTTTAGTTATGTCCCCTACAATAACAATACAATAATAAGCTCGTGCACTGACATCACCTCTGCAATCAAAACAATTCTAAGATCCAAACCAAGACCAGTACCCAATGTAAATAAATTACCAGAGTTTTTTATAGGTAACTAACTTTTATAAAAAAAAAAAACCAATAGCTTTTATTCATTTAGTAATTACTAATTTTTTTTTTTTTTTTTATTTTTTTTTTTATAGTTAATAAAAATAAGAAGGTTCCTTATTTTCATCAAGGTTATAAAAATTTTGTTGGTGGAAATTTTATGGCCATTAATTTTTCATTTTGTATTAATTTAAGCTTTAATATTTCAAGTACTATTACTGAACTGTATCTTGTTGAAGGAAGGTGTGATCAATTTTTAAATGCTCTTTCAAATTTCAATATGAATTCTGCCCATTTACATTTTTACGATGTTGATATTTGTTCAAACATTAATGTGTACATCAAATATTTCCATTTTCACAAGTATATACTAAATGAATTGTTCAAAAATCCAAACAACCTCTGTAGCCCAACCATCCACATATACGAACTAGAAAAGCCATTGACTTCAGACTCTATCAAAGGAAAAGGAACCACCTTACATATTCACGAAGAGTATGATCATCCAATTGCACCTGGTGTATTAACAAACAATGGAATCCAATACCTTTATTTGTATGATATTAAAAATGGTTTACCAAGAGGTTCGCTTCCAGCTGCTTTAAACCAATTATATCTTGATGGATACAAACACTCTTTCAAAGAAATCGTACCTGAAAACCTAACAGTTTACAACAAGATAAATGGAGCATGGCAACTTATCACCAATGATAAATATTGGTAATAAATAGTAATTTGTTAACTTTATCTTATTTTAAAAGATTTTTTTTTTTTTATATTTCTTTTTTATTTGGGATAAAAATTAATTTTGTCAAATAAGTAAATATTTTAAAAGATTTATTTCATACAAATATGGGTGTGTGTTTTTTTTAAAAGAATGATAATATTTCGCGGTAAAATTTTTTAATTTTTTAAATTTTATTTTTTAAATTTTTTTTTTTTTTGTAATTTAATTTTTTTTTTTGAATTTTTTTTTTTAATTTTTTTTTTTAAATATCGTTAGAAATAAATAATTCTATAATTATTTATTAATTAATTAATTTAATTACATTATTTTTTATAGTTAAATAAATAAATTAAATAATTAAACCTGTATATAATAATAATAATAAAATAAACCTATATTAATAAAAATAATATTTAATAAATATAAAAACTCCATAAAATGCACATTAAATATATTTTTATTAAAGGTTTTAGAAGTTATAAAGATCAGGGTTTCACATCGACAACGATGCACCCTGGTTTTAATGTTGTTAGTAAGTACTAGATACAAAACTATTTTAATAGAGTATTATAATAATGACTAAAATTAATTTTTCCAATTTAAGCTGGTAGAAATGGTGCTGGTAAAAGTAATTTATTTGCTGCTATTAGATTTGTATTGGGTGATCTTAATGTTGGAAATAGTTCAGAAGACAGAACAAAACTATTACATTCATATGGTGGTAATACTGTGCAATCTGGTTATGTTGAAATTCAATTTGATAATTCAGATCAGAGATTTCCAGTAAGTAAAACAAAAAAATAATAAAATTAAGTTTAAAACTAAAAAAAATTTATTAATGATTGTTTTTTTTTTTTTTTTTTTTTTTTTTCAGATTGATAAAAATGAATTTACATTAAGAAGAACATTTGGTACATCAAAAGATGAATACAGTATTGGTAATCAAAAATTAACAAAATCAGATATTAGAAATATGTTTGAAGCAGCAGGTTTTTCAAGCAGTAACCCATACTATATCGTCCAACAAGGTAAAATCAATACTTTAACATTAATGAAGGATAGTGATAGATTAGAATTATTAAAAGAAGTTGCTGGTGCCACTGTTTATGAAGAACGTAAAAAAGAGTCTATTGATATTATGCTCGACAGTGAGAGCAAAGTAAAGAAGATCGAAGAATTTTTAGAGTACATAGAACATCGTTTACAACATTTAGATTCTGAAAGAAAAGAGCTCCAACTCTATCACACTCAAATTGAAAAGAAAAAACTCTTTGAAGCCTATATCAACTATTTAGAAGCTGATGAATCAATTAAAAAAATCGAAAACTTAGAAAAAGATAAAGAGAAATATTTAAAACAATCCTCAAAAGATTCTCAAAAATTAGAAAGATTGTCAAATGAGCTTAAAGGTAAATATATATGTTTTTTTCAATAATATTATAAGAATTTCATATTAATATTTTAATTTATTTTTAAAAGATAATGAAAACAAATTTACAAAAATTTTAGGTGAAATAAAAAAAATTGAAAATGAAAAAAATTCAATGGAGAAATTAAATGAAGTATTCGATAAACAAAAAGCTCAGTTAACAATTCAATTTAAACATTTTAAAAAACTATTAACCAAAGAAAAAGAGAAATTAGAGAAATTAGAAAAAGAACAAATTGTATTAACAAGTAGTAAAGACAAATTAGAAGGTGATTTAGAAAATTTAAAACCAGAATTAGAAGGATCCATTCAGGAGGAAGATGCTATTGATTTGAAACTAGCCAGTACTGAAAGAAAGCTTCAAGAACTTTATGTCAAACAAGGTATGTTCCAATTTAAATCAAAAAAAGAAAGGGATGATTATTTAAATGGGGAATCTCAAAGACTCGATGGTATTATTCGTCAATATGAACAACAGGCCGAGGTTATTGAAGAGGATGTTAATGATATGAAACAACTCCAAGATCAAAAAGAAAAACAATACAACGATAATATGGCATCTAAAGATCAAGAGGCTCAATCCATCAAAACAAGTGAACAAAAATTAAATGAATTAAAACAAGAAAAAGATCAAATGGAGCAAAGAATCTCTACAACTTTTCATCAAATCAATGATATGAAATCAACATTAACCAACTATAGAAACGAATGGAAGAAATCAGAAAGAAATCTCTCTACCATTATGAATCGTGGTCTTAATGATGGTTTAAATCGTTTAAATCAAATCCGTCAAGAAGGTAAAATCAAAGGTATTTATGGTCCACTTATTGATCTCTTTGATATTGTCGAACCAGAGGCAACTTTAGCTTTAGAAGTAGTTGGTGGTAATGGTTTGTTCCACATTGTAGTCGATACTGATGATACCGCCTCAAAGATTTTAGAAATTTTAAATAATGAAAATATTGGTCGTCTCTCATTTGTGCCATTAAATCGTGTAAAGACCAAACCTCCAAAATTCCAAATAGAAAGTGACCAAGTTTATCCACTCATCAAAGCAATTAAATATGATAGCAAATTTGACGAAGCAATGAAATTAGTATTTGGAAAAACTTTACTTTGCAAGGATGAAGAGACTGCTGAAAACGTTAGAAAGTCCAATCGTGTTGATTGTATTACTTTTGGTGGTGATGTATTCCATTCTAAAGGTGCTGTTACTGGTGGTTATTACAACAGAAAGAAATTAAAATTAGAAACCTATCAACAAATTAAAAACTGGCGTCAACAATACAATGAACAATGCGAAATATTGGTAACCAAAGAAACCGAATTAGAACAATTACAACAATCACTCTTAATGATTCAAAAAACAATTAGAAGTAAAGAAGAAGAAAAAAATAAAATCTTATCAAAATCAGATAATAGTAGAGTAGAATTGGATAAAATCTTATCTGAACAATCAATGTACAATGAGATTTTAGAAAAGAAACAAACATTTTTAAAGAAACTCCGTATCGATATTCAAAACTCAAAGGAAACACTCAATGGTTATCAAGAGCAAGTTAAAAGCGAATTTAAGAATAAATTAACTGATGAAGAAAGTAACCAACTTTTAACTCTTTCAGAACAATCTATTCAATTAAAAGAACAAAAAATTAGTATCTCTGATAAAGTTTTAAAATTATCATCAAGAAAAACCCAAATGACAAACCAACTCAATCAAAACTATAACAAACGTTTATTAGAAATTGAACAAGAGTTAAAAGAATTAAATCCACAGGGTACCAATGAATTAATGAATGCTAAACAAGACGAAATCAATACTATTGATCAAGAAATCAAATCATTAAAAGAGAAATTAGAAGTTGTTAATCAATCACTAGAAAGTAAACAAAATGAAATTAAACCAATTAAAGTTTCCATAGATTCATATCGTTCTGAAATCTCTGAACTTGCCGATAAATTAGTAGCAGATAGCAAAAAGATGGAGAACTTGTTATCAACTATTCAAAACTATCACAAGATTAGAGATGCTAAACACCTCAGAGTAGTTTCAAAAGGAGATAGATTCAATTTCGATGACCTTAAACAAGCAAATATTGGTAAAGATGAAGCTGTTGAAGAATTAGCCAAAATTAACAAATCATTAGTTCCACTTCGTCATGTAAATCAAAAAGCCAACGATCAATTTAACACTTTTATGAGTCAAAGAAATAATCTTCACGAAAGAAAGAAAGAGTTGGATGAATCAACTAAAGCAATCGAAACTCTTATTATCACATTAGATCAAAAGAAAGATGAAGCAATTGCTAGAACTTTTAGTGGTGTCGCTAAAAATTTCACTCAAGTATTCAAAGAATTGATTCCAGATGGTAATGCTAAACTCATTATGAAACGTGCTATGGATGATGATGATAACCAAGGTGAAGATCCAAAAGATTGGGATGGAAAAACCCCTGCAGATTTATCATTTACTGGTGTTGGAATTCAAGTTTCGTTCGGTCACTCCCATAAACCATGCTCGATGAGACAACTTTCAGGTGGTCAAAAAACATTAGTTGCTTTAGCTCTTATTTTTGCACTTCAAAGAACCGATCCAGCTCCATTTTATTTATTAGATGAAATTGATGCTGCTCTTGATCACAACTACCGTATTGCTGTATCTAAAATGATTCGTAAGCATTCAAGAGAAATTCAATTTATCGCCACAACATTTGGTCCAGAGTTTGTTATGGATGCTAATCGTAATTGGATTGTAGTTTTCCAAAAAGGTGCTTCAAAAGTAGTTCCAGCCGAAAAAGAAGATGCTCTCCAAGTTATTAAAGCCATTGATACCTCATCAACATTCGATTACTCATACACTGGTATTTCAAAAGAAGAAGAAAATGAAAATCTTCCAATCCTTGGTATTGCTGAAACTAAAGAACTCGTCGAACATCAATATAAGACTGCAAAGAAGAAAGCAATCAAAGCATTAGCTGCTGCAGAAGAAGCATGCGAAACAATGATGAATTATGAAAGTAAAGATGATGGCTCAACAAGTGGATCCAATCAACTTAAAGAGTATAAAAAAGCATTTGAAAAACTCTTTAAAAAATATCATCGTAAATTTGATGATTTTAAAAAAGCAAAAGAAAATTTCATACGTAATGGTGGTATCATTAAATCGACTAAAGAGTTTGAAGATGACGAAAAAGAAATGAAAGAATTAGAGAAAGAAGTGGAAGAAGAAGAAGAAGAAAAAAGAAAGGATAGACAAAGCTCAGATAAAGATTCAGAGGGTGATGTTCAAATGGAGGAAAGTCAAGATCAACATAGACCATCAGACAGAGCATCAAAAAAGAAAACATCACCAACCAAAAGAACCATTAGGGATTCAGATATTGATACTGATGAAGAAGGTGGTAATAAACAATATGACGATGAATCAGATTTTGATGGTGCTCCCTCATCACAACAACGTTTCGATGATGCTTTAGACTCAGTAACCAAAAAACTTAAAGCCTCTGGTTCATTGGAAATTCAAGAGCAAGATGACTCTGATGACTCTGATGATGACTCTGACTCTGATGATGATTCAAATTAATTAATCAATTCTCGACAACAACAACAAAAATAACGTTTCAATTTATAAAACCGAAAACTGTATAAATAAAATTAATTTAATTTTTTTTTTATTAAAATATTTTCCAATAAAAATATCTTAGGGTTTCCATTATTTTTTTAATTTATTTTTTTTTATTTTTTTTTAATTTAAAATAATTTTTTCAATTTTTAAATTAAATTTTTTAAAAAAATTTTTATTTTGTTTATTGTTTACATTTACAAGAAAAATGGTATGTGTGGCTATATTTATTTAAATAAATGGCTATGGCTGTAGAACCAACTCTATAAGTTATATTAACAAAAATATTTTAACCAAATAATTAATTTTTATTTTAAAGAAACTTTATACTTACCCAGGAAACAACCGTGCTTTCAAAGGTTTAATCGCTGCTAAATACGCCGGTGTTGAAGTCGAAGTATGTATTCTTATTTTTTTTTTCATTTATTTATAAATTAATTATGATTTAACATTAAATTTTTTTATCTATATATTAGGTCCCAGCCTTCAACTTCCAAACTGATAGAGACACTGAATGGTTCAAAACTCTTGCTCCATGGAAGAAAGTCCCAGTTTTATCAACTGAACAAGGTCCAATCTTTGAATCAAATGCTATTGCCAGATATCTTGCTCGTTTAGGTGGTAACTTATACGGTACTGATGCCTACACCGCTGGTGTCAATGACCAATGGATCGACTATGCCGCAAATGAAATCGACCCAATTAACTACGGTTGGATTTTATCAATCCTTGGTTACGCTGATTACAGCTCAAAAGAAACCCAAAAATCCAAAGAAAGTATGAAAAAAGTTCTCGGTTTCTTAAATGAACAATTATTAAACAAATCATTCTTAACTGGTGCTCGTATTCAATTAGCTGATGTCATCGTCTTCTGTTCATTACTCAACTTTTACAAAATGGTCTTAGATCCAGCCTTCCGTCAACCATTCGGTAATGTTAACAGATGGTTCATCACCATGTTAAACCAACCAAACGTTAAAGCCGTCGTTGGTGAAGTTGCCCTCTGTGAAAAAATGATGGCCTACGTTCCACCAAAGAAAGAAGAAAAACCAAAAGCTGAAAAACCAAAAGCTGAAGAAAAACCAAAAGCCTCAGAAGAAGAAGAAGTTGAAAAACCAAAAAAGAAAAACCCATTAGATGAATTACCAGCTTCAACTTTCTCATTAGATGAATTCAAACGTACTTATTCAAACAATGAAGTCTCCATGTCAATTCCATGGTTCCACCAAAACTTTGATTCCAACGGTTTCTCAGTCTACTACTGTGAATACAAATACAACGACGAATTAGGTCCACTCTTCATGACCTGCAATTTAATCGGTGGTTTCTTCCAACGTTTAGATTCATTACACAAATATGGTTTCGCCAGCATGATCGTCTTCGGTAAAGACTTAGGTGGTGGTAAAATCGAAAACCAATCAGTTTCTGGTATCTGGGTCTTCCGTGGTAACGAAATCCCATTCGAAATGAAAGATTGTGATGATTCATTAGTCTATGATTGGAAGAAATTAGATGTTGTTGCTGACAAACAATTAATCGACAACTACTTAGCCTGGGAAGGTTTCACCGATAAAAACTTCTTACAAGGTAAATTATACAAATAAACAATTTATCTTTTAATTTTAAAAAATAAAAAAACTTTTTCTTTTTTCTTTTATCATACATAAAATTATTATTCAATAAAAAAAAAATAATCATTATTTTTTTTCATCGCTTTGGGAATTCAAATTAATATACCACGATTATAAAAGAATTTCAAAATACAATATTGAAGCTAGCTTTTTAAACAGAAAACATTCAAAGGAACTCATTCAATATAATTAAAAGTTATTAGTTTCAATATTGGTTTTTTTATTTTATATGATCTTAACAAATGATAAAATCAATAATCACTATATTCACTTTATTTATTTGTTATTTTGTGTTGGATATTTTAAATTGAATTTTTAAAAAATTTTTTTTTTTTTTTTTTTTTTTTTATTCGCAAAATAAATAAAAATAATTTTTTAATTTTCCAAATAAAAATAGCTACCAATATTATAATATATTTTGTTTATGTCAATATTGCAAAATTTATAAAAAAAATATAAAGATATTATTGTTGTTCTCAAATACGTGATTTAGTTTATTTTTAGCAACACAAAAAATCACAAAACGCGAAAAA